GGGGCAAAGCCCCGCGGTATGGTACAGGGGTAATGTTGTAATTACATGTTGTGCCTAGGTTTACTCCTGGGGTTATAAATAGGTATGTTAGTAACCCCAGGAGGTATCCCTCTATTCTGTAACGTCTTTTCTGAATATTGAAAGGAGCTCGCCGCTCTGCTCCCGAGGACGTAGCCCGAGGACGTAGGCATCTTTGTCGAAACTCGTTAAATCTCTGTGTTCTTCTGGATTTGTGTTGATTACTGTTTTTCTTCGTCCTAATTTTCTCAACATACATGCCACCCAATTCCTTTAAGACGACTCTCTCTAATTTTGTCTGTTACTAGAACTACAACAACCTTTTCACGGATACATTCATTTCGCATTTTGTCTCCGAGTGTCGAGCCCCTCATCCATCTAAGCATTTTCATCTTAGCAACACCTAAACTTATTTTTATGCATCTCTTTTATAGGCCAACATTTTTGATGCAATTGCAAGTCTCACCATCATCTTATATAATTTTTGTTTTAAGTGTAAACAATATTTTCTGTCACGCAATAGGCCCAATGCATTCCTCCACTTCAACTATCTAACATGAACTCTACTAACAACACACTCATCTGTATCACCGTCACTTTGAACAATGAACCCGAGATAGCTAAAACATTCACTCCTTTTAATGATTTGATAACCTATTGTTATAATGCTCTCACTTGATCTACTACTACTAAAATTACATCCATGTATTCAGTTTTAGATCTACTCAAACAATGGTGTGAAAAGTTAGAAGTAATATTAAATTTTAATGTATTTAAAATGGCTTACACGATGGTGTAAAATTTTAGAAATTATATTTACTAATCTAATTTTATTGTTACAGGGAATCATTAGGAGAGAGCTTGGAAGGTGTGAAGGGGGTATATGACTAGGTAGACTGCTTAATTGCTTGCTTCCTTTACTGTCTGTCAAGGCTCAAGGCCGGTGCTACATGTAATTTACAATAACTTGAGTTTCTGTAAAATCTCTATAGTTTGGCTTGATGCTGCCTCCATTCTGATCTCGACAATGCCCAGATGGGGGAGTACATGAGCCACTTTTAAATCGTTTTGGTGGGTGAATTCTTGATTTACTTGCAAATCGAGTAAAATGGATATTTCTTTATTTTTTTAACAAATCAACTGCAAAATAATATTTTGCAATTTTTATTTATTCTGTGAAAATATACAGTATGCACGGTTGGAACTCACGACCTCATAGTGGGAGACAATGCCTTCAATCACTATGTTGTGGGTAAGTGTGAATTGATTTATTGGAACATTTATATACATATCCCAATTCTTTTGTATTTATATATATAATACCTAAAATTTTAAATTTATATTTGTAAAATTATTGTGTTAAGAATTATGATTGAAAAATGTATTTCACTTTTGGAAAGTTCGTCATAGTGATATTTTTTTTACATGTAAATATAGAAGTTTAGGTGTTGGATATGAAAATATATAAAAAATGTGATCTATATGCAAATGCCCCTAATTTATTTGTTTATTTTCCCAATGTATCAAATTGGGAGTAATTATTTGCTTGTTAAAACAGATTATTATTATTTAATAACAGTTACAGGGCATTATTTAATGGCATCAACTAAAGATGATGTTGAGCGTTGGAACTTAGACATCACTAACAGTTAGGAATTTGATAAGGGAAAATGTCAATTTCTTACATTCATTAGGTGATATTGATGTGGAACATCCAATGTTGATAAAGAGTGATAACAAATGTATAGAGGTAGTTGTCTAAGTTATTCTCCTTATAAAAAAGGAACCAATCAACCTATCATGTTGATATTAAATGCTAATGATATTGAAATGTTCATTTTCTTCATGCATAAAATGATGGCCATTTTCAAATGTTTCTTGGTAGATGCTAAAGAAAATGTGGAGTTGATGTTATCATCATCAAGACTTGGATGTTAGTGAACATTAGTTGATGATGACATTGGACAACATGAGAATATAGGCTCCTAGCAAGCCAATGTTAATGCGTAGTTTTTTAGTTGGAATGAGTTCACCATGATTAATTGATCCAACACAATTATTCATTATATGTGTTCTTTGTAGATGATATCTACCCGCAGATCAATTGACTACAGTTGTAAAACTTGGCGACATCATATTAGCATTTCTGAGTGTGAAAGATGAAGACAAATAAGAGAAGCTTATTTTTAAATCAAATTAAATATACTAAAAATTTTGGAGTTTTTTTAATTATTTTTTTAGGAAGCATTTTATATTATTTGTGCTTATATTTGCATGATTTTGGTATATTGGATTACACTTAATAAAATGCGACATCTTCATCATAAATTTGCTCTAGCATTTTATAGAAAGGGAGACTAATTATTTAAGAATGTCTATACATGTGGTGTTGATGTCATTGTGTGTGTACTATCAGTGAATATTATAGTTATTGATTGATAAAGGTGTGGATAGTTCTTATAAAAATTTCTAAATATTCCTTACTAACAAATTCAAATGCATTATCTTATCTTTATAGAAAATTTCTAAACATTATCTTATCTTGATAGAAGTAGAAGGATGTGCTTCATTCCAAAGCATAAATTTAAATGGTCAAATAATGTTTTTTTTAAATCTATTTTGATTTTTCTATGCATCTTGAATTTGATCAAATTTAAGACTTTTAATATTTTGTATTTGTATGGTTCATTATCAAATATTTCTGAAATTCACTGTTTAACTTTAAGTTTTTTAAAAGAAAACAATAGTTGCTTAATTTTCATCAATTAATTTGCTTACATTTTAAATCCATAAGTATTATGAGCAAGACTTTATATTTATCATTTTATGGTTTGATAGGGGATTATGTGAAAAAATTATGGGATCATTTTGGGAGATAATCCTTTCTTTTTTTTTCCTTTTTATTGTAATTTTGTGGTGATTATACTTTTGGTTGTTAAAAAGTTTACTTTTGTAACATTTTTCATCATAGAGAAATATATAAGTGTGATGTTATAGTAAGTGTTTTCTGATCACTCGAGAAGAGTATATGTTTACTTGTCTTAGAATGAAATCCTAGTCACAGGCTGACTAGACGTGAACAAATTCTTGGGAGGTGGGGGAGTTGGCTAAACAATCATGTGCCACTTGTCATTTATTTTTTATGAATTTATGCTAATTTACTATTCTAATTATTACAACTTATTGACAACAAAATTTTTTTGCAAAAGTAAACTAATTTTAGATTATTTTTGTGCACACTTAGTTCACCTTCACTTTTAGGACTCTAGCAACCTTTAATCAGTATTAAAGATGATATTTGTTTGTTAGCTTTAACAATATAAGTAAATCAACCTATGAATCACCTTAGAAACTAAAATACTTTAGAAGGGTATTCATTTACTTGACTATCATCATCTGATAATATTCCATTCAAATATAAAGAAAGTTTGCATGCAACTTCTATACAATTTATTAATTAATAAATGTCAATTTTAGTTCAAATAGTTTATTCACCACTCTTGACATGTTTATTTATTGAAATTCCTTTTAATTAATGGATTGATAAGAAAATAGAACTTGCACAACTGAATGCTAGAAGTTTAAATTATCTTTTTTTGGCGCTTTGAAATTTAATTGTAAAAGAGATTTGGGATAGACTTCATATGAAACCTAATTACTTACGACGATACAAATGAGGTCAAACAATTTCGTATAAAAATTTTACTTCATAAATATGAACTCTTTCCTATGAAACCTAAGAATGACATCTTTGACATGTACACTCAATTTACTAAAATTATTATATATTTGCATACACTAAATAGATTCTTTACTAATGCTAAAAAATTGAATAAAATTTTATGAAGTTTGACAGGGTCTAGTGAAGCTAAAGTTACTGCTAAATTTTAATCAAAAGATTAATTTGCTTATTATAATAATTATCTACTTGGAATATTCCTAATAGATTGTGAACATAAAATCTCATAAAGATAAGAAAATTAATAAAAAGAGAGAGAAAATGATAGCACTCAAAGTTGAAGAAACCAAAAAAAGTGAATCAGAGAAAAGGGAGTACATGATGTTGCTTTCATTACAAAAAATTTCAATCCTTTCAATAGGACTGAAAGAAAAAAAAATTAATAGGAATGAATAAAATGAGAAAAGTAAGAAAAATTAAATCAACTTTTTTCATTATGTATTTTAAATGTAACAAGTAAGGCCAGTTCATGCTGAACTGCCCAAATTTGAACCCCTTACTCTAGAGAGAAAAGAGAAGAATGAAGATGTGACAATACAAAAAATAAATGTAGAGTGCAAAGGGCCTTCTACATCAACTTAAACTTAAAGTTATCATAAATTGAATTAGAGGAATAAGCCACAAATTTGTGATTAATAGTAAATGAAAAATAAATCGAATCAAATGCTGAATATGTATGTAATTTTTCATATGATGAACTTTCCAATTTTGTTGAAGAATTATTTCAAATCATTATACCAAAAGGGTCTTTAATGTTTAAGAGTTCAACCTCATTCCACCTAAGTGGTTTCATAATCTCCCAAAAATAAGTAGCTAAAGTCCTAATTAGTGCTTATGTGGGAGCAAACATAGGATGGGTGACCTGATAAGTTACACCAACAGGACAATACTATGAGTCCAATAAGCCAAAACAATCAATATCTCAATGGGTGAGAGTTTGCATTGTCAGAAATGGTATTAAAGCATTACACAAGGCTGAAGATAGAAATTGAGTGACTTACAAAACAAAGTATTACGCTATGGGAGTCACCTCTTTGACTTTAAATGGGATAAAGTGCTACATGATGGGAGACACCTTTTAACTTTATAAGGGCCATATCTAGAACTTTATTTGTATGTTGTATGATTCTAGTTTTAGCGCACTAATGAGGATATCAATTACTTAAATGGGAGAGATTATGAAACCCCTTGAGAGAAAAGAACCTATACTCTTAAAAATCAAGACAACTTTTGGTGTAACAATTCAATTTTTGATATAAACTCCAAAATTAAGCATGATTGTGTGGGAACACTTATAGGATGGGTGACCTCCTAGGAAGTTACACCAATGAGGCGAAACTGTGAGGCCATTAAACTAAAGCGGATGATATCACGATGGGTAAAAGTTTGGGATGTTAGAACGGCTTTGATATTAAATTTATTTCTATTAAATCTTTAATTAATTTATTTCTATTAAATCTTGATCTGTTAGAACGACTTTGATATAAATTTATTTCTATTGAAGTCACACCCAATAACACCATCTATATACTTAATTTGGATAATATAGGATGAATAGAAAATTTATGTTATCTTTCATCTTTCATTCCTCTTCTTCCCCAACATATTGGTTGAACACCCTCTTCCCCTTTTTCTTCTTCTTTTCCCCTTTTTCGAAAACCAACTTTCCATTTCTTCCCTTATTCTTCTTGCCTTTGTCAAAATCCATAACCATTCTCCTCTTCAATTTGTGTTGGTTGAAATTTGCATGCATCGTTCCTTTGGAGAACTCTTCAAGAAAGTTATAATTCTCAACTTTTTTTGTTTTAATTTGGTTTACTTCATGTGTTAATTCATCAAAGTAAAATGAATTTCACATGTATGCTATTTAAATTTTATAGATTTGTATGTTAAGCATAAGTATCTACACATTTTCAAATTTGTTTGTCATATATACAAGTCCTTTCAAATTCAGTTGATCATATATGTGTTTTTAATTTTAATTGATGAAAGTATGTTGAATGTTTGATTTATGTGAAGTTAAAATTCATGTTTAGGTTGCTTAAAATCCATTTGATTTATATGTTATGTGAAGCTAAAATCCATGTTTAGGCTACTTAAAATCTATATAATTTATATATTTGCTTTATGTGAAGTTAAAATTCTAGTTTAGGTTACTTAAGATCCATTTTATTTGTATGTTTGCTTTATGTGAATTTAAAAATCCATGTTTCCATTCTGTGGTCTATGTTAAAAAATGTGTTGCTTTTTGTTATTATGAATCATGTTTTTTTTTTCTTTTTCTAAATGCATGATAGAAAAATGTGTGACTTTAAGTTTTGTTAGAAAAATGTAGTTTAAAGTTGTTTTAAGACATTTGTGGTGTATAGATTACATATCGAGTGGAAAAATATGTTAAATCATATGCCTCATGCTCACTTTA